AATTGCAATGATTGACTTAACAACTGTGGCAAGAAAGGTCATAAAATGGGGGGAAACTCACTTAATGACTGTCATGCTTAGCAACAGAAAATCTGGGCTCAATTATGGTCGTAAGTCAAGGACCACCTGTACTTGTGAAATCTTAGTTTCGACTTCTGTGACTCCCACAATCTTTGTTTTTAACCCCTGTCCTTAAATGCTCAAGGAAAACACTTGGCTCAAGGATCACAGGCAGCCCATCAAGCAGCCTTTGTGACCCACTGTTGTTGTTTTTCCAAAACTAAACAAATGTGCTGCTTTCCCAAAAGACACAATTCCAAGTGTCTCCAAGCCTCACTGTTGCCACCAGCTCTGGGACCACTAACCACTGTCCACTAACCACTCAACAGTTGATTGACACACCAGGTATTCCCTAGTGGCCCAGTGATCTTTCATTTAGTAGTGTAGCCTTTTTTTCCCACTAGAAGGTGTACAGATCTGTTTGAAGAATTGGAGAGAATAAACTTAAGCAGGTTCTCTATGCCAGGGCTTTTCAACCAGTGGTACGGGTACCACCTGTGGTAAATTGGCACCTTGCAGGTGGTACGCGACCATCCTAGAAAAGTGGTAGCGGGGGAGGGGAATGAGCTGAACCGGTGGCAGCACCGCACAAGCCTGAGTGAGAGATGGCTGGAGCTGCAGGGCTATCAGGGTTCAGTGGAAGTGCCAGGATCAGTGCCGTTTTCCAGCTGATCGGCGCTTCTTCAGGGCTGTCAGGGCTCAGTGGAAGTGCCACGATCAGCACCAGGCTCCAGCTGGACCTCGGCGCTGATCCTGGTGCTTCTGCTGAGCCCAGAAGACGCGCCGATCAGCTGGAATGTTGCAGCATCTCCAGGGTCTTGTGATTTACATTCAGATGCTTGGCAACTGATTCATATTTATGACGGTCACAGTGTCCCAGGGTCATGTGAAGTGACCAAAACCTGCTGCAACCACCCAGCAGACGGGGGGAATAAAAACCAAACACCCCCACCCCACCCCTGCTGCCAATCCTCAACAGAAATGCTCACAACAATGAAAACCTCGGACAGGAGGAAGAGCGCCGCCGGGTGGGCAGGCAGGTGTCTTGCTCGGCTGTGACTTGGGGGGCACTTTTTTCAGTGCCATTGTAACTTCGAACAGTCACTAAGCGAACTGTTGTAAGTCGAGGACTACCTGTACTTTATCACTTTTTCCCTTTTTTTTTTTTGGTCATCAAGTTTTTGACACCTTGCTAGGCGACTGGTGGTACTTGGATATTGCCATATCCTAAAAGTGGTACAATGGGTGAAAAGGTTGAAAAGCCCTGGTCTATGCCTTTGAAGAGCTGAGTGCGTGTTTTCTGCTACTCACTAGTCAGCTCCCCATTTCTCTGTCAACAAGAGTCTCTGCCCCCAGGGAGTTTCCTAGACACATTCATGGAGATCCTTGGTGACACTCATGGAGCATATTGTGTTTGATGCTGCCTTTTCCAAAATGTTTTTTTCCTCTTCCTCCAACCCTGGGATTTGCTGACGATGCTTCATCTGAATTCCAAGTTTTTGAGAAGACATTGGATAACTATTTCTCTGAAATGGTATAGAGTTTCCTGCCTGAGCAGGGAGTTGGACAAGAAGACCTCCAAGGTCCCTTCCAACTCTGTTACTCTGTTAAATACTAACTACCCCTAATACAGTTTAAGCTCCCAGGTCCAAACCAGATCAACAAATGCTGCTAAGTCCTGATACTGAGCAATTAAAACATTGCCCCCAACTCTCCAAAGTTAAAAAAAAGTGATTTTCCAATCAACAACTTAGCCCACAGCCTTGGATCACATTACACTTAGGAATCACCAACTGTGATCCTAAAGCAGTGTTTCTCAACCTTGACAATTTTAAGGCATGTGGACTTCAACTCCCAGAATTCCACAGCCAGCTTTGCTGGCTGTGGAATTCTGGGAGTTGAAGTCCACATGCCTTAAAATTGTCAAGGTTGAGAAACACTGTTCTAAAGCTTTTCTTGATGGATCATTCCTACATTAGCCAACTTTATGTTGCCTTCTTTATTCCATTTCCTTACTGTGGCTCGATTGAGATGCAAATCTGGGTTACAAGTAGCAGTGGGGTCCACCTTTTCCTATTGCAAAAAAGAAAAAAAGAAAGAAAAATCAGAAGAAAAGCATGCACAATCAACACTGCAAGTAGATAAAGAACAAATTCATTCACATGGAATATTCTTCCTCCCTCACTCCCTCAAAAGAAGAGGGAGTCAATCTATTCTCCAAAACACCTGAAGGCGGAACGAGAAGCAATGAATGGAAACTAATCAAGGAAAGAAGCAACCTAGAACTAAGGAGAAATTCCCTGACAGTGAGAACAATTAATCAGTGGAACGGCTTGCCTTCTGAAGTTGTGGGTGTTCCAATACTGGAGGTTTTTAAGAAGAGATTGGACAACTGTTTGACTAAAATGGTATATGGTCTCCTGCTTGAGCAGGGGGTTGCATCAGAAGATCTTCAAAGTTCCTTCCAAATCTATTATTGTTATTGCAAAACAAACACTCATTCTTATTTACACCTATCTCAACCAAGGACTACTGTATGAGTAGGTATCAACAGACATTTTATATATAGCAAGAAGGAACCCACAGAATTCTCAGATTAAGGCACAGCTAAGGAACTGATCTGACCAATAGGATTCATCTTTGCCACAGTTAAATTTGAAGCTTTCCAGTGAAGTCAAGAGAATGCCTTTTTTCCCCAAACCAAGTTACAAGTAGTCCTTGACTTATAACCGGTTGCTTAGTGACCATTCAAAGGTATGTCAGACACCCTTTCCCATGCACTATTAATCCTGCTGTTCCCTCCTCTAGCTAGCAAATGGACCTTTTATAAAATCTCTCGGGGTGCATGGATTCATAAGGAGAATGTCATTATCAAGCGAGAATCATATTAGAAATACATTGTTAAGGTAACTGTGGTCTGAACTCCAGAAGCTAATCAAAGAGAGAATCAACCTAGAACTAAGGAGAAATTTCCTGACAGTTAGAACAATTAATCAGTGGAACAACCTGTCTCCAGAAGTTGTGGGTGTTCCAACACTGGAGGTTTTTAAGAAGAGACTGGACAGCCATTTGTCTGAAATGGTATAGGGTTTCCTGCCTGAGCAGGGGGTTGGACTAGATGACCTCCAAGGTCCCTTCCAACTTCATCATCATCATTATTATTATTATTATTATTATTATTATTATTATTATTATTAAGTAGGCATGAACATTGCTCTTCAGGAGCATGTCAAACTCGCGACGTCACATGACATATCAGGACTTTTTCCCCATTGCCGGCAATGGGGTGGGCACGGTTTCGGCATGACGCATCCGGCCCGCAGGCCAGCAATTTAACATGCTTGGACTAGAAGACCTCAAAGGTCCCTTCCAACTATTATTGTTACTGCTATTGAATATAATCAATTCTATACCTTTTTCTTAAGTTATACACTATCTCAAAATAAACTCTTTTGTCAGGGTTTATTGACGATCATGGATGTTTCTACAATACTTGTGAACTTTTTCTGAAAATTTTATTTTACTGCCACTGAATTAATGGAATATCAAACTAGCACAGTATTGTAAATCTTATGTTAGGGAAGGCAGCAACGCTTTAGGCCTCTCACAGCAAAAAAGGAAGTCTGAACAACTAGAAGACAATCATTCAGCCTTTTGTCTGAAATGGTATAGGGCAGTGGTAGCGAACCTATGGCACAGGTGCCAGAGGCGGCACTCAGAGCCCTCTCTGTGGGCATGTGCGCTGTTGCCCCAATCCTAGGCCTTCAGCTGGGTTTTATAAAACCTTTTCGCTTTAGGCCTCTGCCACCGTGTGCAAAAAAAAAAAAAAGGTTCAATCAATCAGTCAATTTCAACTTCTTGCGGGGAAAAAAGATCTTGCAAAGTTGGAATTGATTGATTGAACTTTTTAGACCCACCCAGTCTGCCGTTACCACCATAGCCACGCCCAGCCAATGGGCCACACCCACCCAATTGGCCATGCCCAGCCAATGGGCCACACCCACCCGACACTCGACGATGCATAAGTGGGTTTTGGATTGCAGTTTGGGCACTTGGTCTCTAAAAGGTTCGCCATCACTGGTATAGGGTTTCCTGCCTGAGCAGGGGGTTGGACTAGATGACTTCCAAGGTCCCTTTCAACTTTATTGTTATTATTATTATATTATACTGTACAACAGCACCTTTTTGGCTTTGTGGACTGGTGGTGGCAGAGAGGGAATGGTTCCATGCAAACAGCAGGTAAGCACACTCGTGCAGGCAACTCCATTTGCATGAGCAGCAGGTGTGTGCACCCACCGCTTGCAAAATGGAACTTTGCACGCTCATGCATGCGTATACCGCTTGCACACACACACGCCACTCATGCAAGTGGAGCTGTCCATGCAAACATTGTCACCCGCTGCTTGCGCGGCCTGGTTCCAAATGTGCCCCAACCTGGTACCGGGCTGTGGCCTGGGGGTTGTGGACCCCTGTTGCACAATACAATGAGTTAGCAGAATCTTATGCATCTTACAATCCTGTTCCAGCTCCATCTTCCCCAAAGATGACTTAGGTGCAAAACAAGTGCCACCAAAACAAAAGCTCTAGTCAGACAATCACTTAAACAGGAGCCAGCCGTGTGCTGCAGCTGCCAAAAAAGCCAACACAGTGCTAGGATGCATTAACAGAGGGATAGAATCAAGATCACGTGAAGTGTTAATACCACTTTACAATGCCTTGGTAAGGCCACACTTGGAATACTGCATCCAGTTTTGGTCATCACGATATAAAAAAGATGCTGAGACTCTAGAAAGAGTACAGAGAAGAGCAACAAAGATGAATTTATAGCTGTTTGCAGCAGTCTGTAGTCATGTGACCATGATTTATAACGTTTCCAGTTTCTAGCAAAAACACCCATTGCAGACAATAGACCTACTCAACAGCAATAGCACTTAGACTTATATACTGCTTCATAGTGCTTTACAGCCCTCTCTAAGCAGTTAACAGAGACAATATATGGCCCCCAACAATCTGGGATCCTCATTTTACCGACCTCGGCAGGATGGAAGGATGTGGCGACCTTGAGCCGGTAAGGATTGATCTCCTGGCAGTGGGTAGAGTTAGCCTGAAATACTGCATTCTAACCAATGTGCCACCACGGTTCTCATTTAAAGATCACGGCATTCAGTTAACTACCACCACAAAAAAGTTGCGAAATCAGGTGTGGTCACATGGTGGCCCGCTTAACAACCAATATGATTTACAACTGTAGTTCCAGGCTGAATTATGGTCATAAGTCAAGGCCTACCTGTAGCGTATTCTAGGATCTAAATCAAAATATGAGCTCAAGTCTTCCAATAACCACACTGACTACTACACAAAACGTACTCTTCTCACCTGGCCCTCTAGAACGGGGGTCCCCAATCGCCAGGCTGTGGCCCACTTCTGGGCCGCAGCCTGTTCAGAACCAGGAGGCAAAAGCTGCGGGCGAGCTGCGTGCATGTAAGATAAAATAACCTTTATTGTCATAACCATTCTGGCTCCCTCCCCGCCGGTCCACAAAGCCGGAATTGGGGATCGCTACTCTAGAACAGGGCTTTTCAACCAGTGGTATGGGTACCACCTGTGGTACATTGGTACCTGGCAGGTGGTACGCGACCATCTTAGAAAACTGGTAGCGGGGGATGGGAATGAGCTGAACCGGTGGCAGCACCGCACAAGCCTGAGCGAGAGATGGCTGGTGCTCAGCGCTGATCCTGGGGCTTCTGCTGAGCCCAGAAAAAGCGCCGATCAGCTGGAATGTTGCAGCATCTCCAGTGTCTTGTGATTTACATTCAGATGCTTGGCAACTGATTCATATTTATGACGGTCACAGTGTCCCAGGGTCTTGTGAAGTGACCAAAACCTGGTGCAACCACCCAGCAGATGGAGGGGGAATAAAAAATCAAACACCCCCCACCCACCCCCCTCTGCCAATCCTCAACAGAAATGCTCACAACAATGAAAACCTCGGACAGGAGGAAGAGCGCCGCCGGGCAGGCAGGCAGGTGTCTTGCTTAGCTGTGCCTTGGGGGGCACTTTTTTCAGTGCCATTGTAACTTCGAACAGTCACTAAGCGAACTGTTGTAAGTCGAGGACTACCTATACTTTATCACTTTTTTCCCTTTTTTTTGGTCATCAAATTTTTCACACCTTGCTAGGCGACTGGTGGTACTTGGATGTTGCCATATCCTAAAAGTGATACAATGGGTGAAAAAATTGAAAAGCCCTGCTCTAGAATTTACTACAGAGACTTAACTTGAACAACCATCCCTTCCTCCCCATACCACAGCTTTGTCTCGGGTCCCCTCCAGCACCTACTGCTTGAGCATAGGCACTCAGGGCTTGCTGGGAGATCTTGGGGTTCTGCCCCGTATTGAAGAACAAGGAGAGGTAGGCATTGCCCAGCACATCTGTGGAATGCAGAAAACATAAATTAGCCAATGGCATATCCCGTTCTTTTCTGCCCTTTCCCTGCCTAGGCTAAAAGACCGTGTTGTAAAACTCACACCAAGAGCGTCCGTCGCGCACATCCATCTGTACCGCCAGTTTGGCTTGCCGCACGCTGTCCATCACGTTTTGTGCGTGTTCATCAGGAGAACTGGTGCGCAGCTGCCGTAACACCATGGAGAGGTTCTGCAAGGAGACTTTGTTCTTACGCTGAGAGGGTGGAAAAGAAAGGCGTTGTTTGGCTGAAATAGCAACGCTGCAGGACAAGATTTCTGTATAAAACTAGAAGTTTTAATAAGCTCCAAATACAGGCGGTTCTCCATTTTCCATTCATTTAGCAATTGTTTGAAATTGTATGAAAATGTATACACACAGGTAATATCTTTCCCTCCATATATGTTTAGCTACAAGTAGCAATGAACCAAAGGAACACATCCTTGCAAATATATTTACATACCCAACAAAGAAAACATGCTGCCTTAAGATGTGAGAGTCTATGGAGATTCTCAGTCATCCAGGTCATAGTTATCCCAAAGGTGCTTTTTCACAAGGCAACTGGACTTCCTTGTTTTTCTCTAAAGACATTTCACTTCTCATCCAAGAAGCTTCTTCAGCTCTGACTGGATGGTGGGGAATGGAAGGATTTATACTTCTTGCAGACAGCTGGTCATTTGCATTCTTTTAGAGCAGGGGTGTCAAACTCAATGTTATTGAAGGCCGCATCAGCATTGTGGTTGCCCTCGGGGGGGCGGGGGTGTGTGGCCAGGGTGGGTACGGCCTACTGGGTGGGCGTGGATGGAGTGGGTGTAGCCTACCGGGTGGGCATGGCCAGCTCTACATCGTTCACGTCAAGGGTACCTGTGGGGGCCTGGGCAGGAGTGGGACAGATCTGAGGGTCTCTGGCAGAAGGGGGTAGGACCGAGGCAAACGCCAAGGCATGGTCCATTTCTTCATTCCTCACAAAGGGTGACATCTCCCCAGCATGCACCCAGGGGGCGGGGCTGACAGGGCAGGGGCCGGTCCCTTGCTGTTTCCAGACAGCCTTGTGGAGCTAAGACTGAATGCGTTTCAGCATAGATGGCCACCACAAAATTGTACATTGGCTCCCAGCCAGCCTGGGCCAGAGCCAAGGCAGAGGGCCGTTCCCTCACTGTTTCCAGGATGGCTTCGCGGGCCACATGAAACCACTTCGCGGGCCGCATCCGGCCCCCGGGCCTTGTGTTTGACATGTCTGTTTTAGAGAGTCAATGAGGCCACTTGGTGGTTTGTCTGTGTCGCCAGGGTCCCCTGTGTAGTGCAAATGGGTGTAGAGCCTTCTTGGAACTGCTGACAGGACTATGTTGTAGACTATGAGATAGACGATGTCGTATCCCTCTCCCTCTGTTGAGAAAAGGCTGTTCAGTGTTGACAGAGATGGCCTCCTTGACCTCTCTTTCAAACCAGCAGTCCCCTCTGCGCAAAAGGTGGACTTTGCTATTTTCAAAAGAGTGGCCTTTCTTGTATGAGAAGCAAAATTTCTTCAAAGAAAAACAAGAAAGTCCAGTTGCCTTATGAAAGAGCACCATTGGGTTAAGATGTGAGAATTGAAAACAGTCACCAATGGATTAAAAAAATTGCAACACATTCATTACAATAAGCATTTATTAAGGATTTGATCGCTAATTAAACTGAGTCAAAAGGCCAAATCTTTATACAACATTTCTGTATAAAATGAGAACTTTTAATAAGCTCCAAACACAGGCAGTCCTTGGAATACTGCATCCAGTTTTGGTCACCACAATGTAAAAAAAGATGTTGAGACTCTAGAAAGAGTGCAGAGAAGAGCAACAAAGATGATTAGGGGACTGGAGGCTAAAACATATAAGGAACGTTTGCTGGAATTGGGTATGTGTAGTTTAACGAAGAGAAGGACAAGGGGGGACATGATAGCAGTCTTCCAATATTTCGGAGGTTGCCACAAAGAAGAGGGAGTCAAGCTATTCTCCAAAGCACCTGAAGGCAGGACAAGAAGCAATGGATGGAAACTAATCAAGGAGAGAAGCAACCTAGAACTAAAGAGAAATTTCTTGACAGTTAGAACAATTAATCAGTGGAACGAGTTACCTCCAGAAGTTGTGAATGCTCCAACACTGGAAGTTTTTAAGAAGAGACTGGACAGCAATTTGTATGAAATGGTGTAGGGCAGGGGTAGTCAACTGTGGCTCTTTTATGACTTGTGGCTCAGGAATTCTGGGAGTTGAAGTCCATGAGTCATAAAAGAGCCAAAGTTGCCTACCCCTGGTATAGGGTTTCCTGCCTGAGCAGGGGGTTGGACTAGATGACCTCCAAGGTCCCTTCCAACTTTTATTATTATCTTTTCTCTGAAAGGGATTTACTTGATCTACAGAATACCATCAGAAATAGCAATAGCACTTAGGACTTATATACCACTTCATATTGCTTTACAGCCCTCTCTAAGCAGTTAAAAGAGTCAGCATATGCCCCCCCCCAACAATCTGGGTCCTCATTTTACTGACCTCGGAAGGATGGAAGGCTGAGTCAACCTTGAGCCGCTTGGGATCGAACTCCTGGCTGTAGGCAGAGTCAGCCTGCAGTACTGCATTCTAACCACTGCGCCACCATTTTGGAATCCGGGTTTTCAAACAATCCTTCAAACAAAAGAACTATTTGATAGCAGAGAACTTAGGGGAAGCTTACATGGCTGAGCGCTCCGGAGAAGCAGGTATGGGCAGCAGAGACATCTCCCTTTTTCCAATAAACCTCGCCTAATTGATTCCACGCCTCCACCAATTCCGGGTCCAGCTTGACCGCTTTGGAGAGCAATTCTTCAGACTGGGCATTATAGTCTGTTGATACATTCAAAGCTTTCCCTTTAAGCATCAGCGTGTACGCTCGCCCTTCTGATAAGCCTAATAAAAGTGGAGGGGGGGGAAAAAAGAGAGATTCCATTATATGTTATTGTCCCCAAAAATGAAAAAAGTCCACCTAATATTGAGATGTAAGTAATTATACATTTCTTTTTGCCAGTTCATTTTTTTTCTCTTCCATGAAACTGTTCAATTTACAGATGTCTCTCCACCAATTCGATACAAAAACCATACAACTGGCAATTGAAATATGCTATCTTAGTAAGTAATGGTAAATCTGAATTCCAGATATAAACTTTCATGGGTTTTGTTGTATCAACTGATGCAGGTAGTCCTCACTTAACAAGCACAACTGGGACCAGCAACTCTGTCTTTAAGTGATGCATCTGTTAAGATAAATGATGTTCAACTGCACCGGAGTTACATCAGTTCCACTATGTTCATTACATCATATGAATCACATGACGTGGCATCGCGTGACCACGAATTGCAGCTTCCTGACGGCTTCCCCATTGACTTTGCTTGTTAGAAGCTGGTTCTGAAGGTCGCAAATGGCGATCCTATGACTACAGGATGCTGCAACCATCATAAATGAACACCGGTTGCAAAGTGCCCAAATTGCAGTCACATGATCATGGGGCCACTGCGAGAACTGCAAGGATCAGTTGTAAATCTATTTTTTTTTCAGCACTGTCACAGTTCGAGCAGTCACTGAACAAAGCAGTGGGTAAATGAGGATTAGCTGTAAACTTTCCATTTTTTCTTCTGATTTCTGGTATTTTTAATTATTACATTTAGGGAGTATTCAAATAGTTTTGAGTGTAGAAGTCCTAACGGACCTTTGGCTGCTACAAATGCTTGAGATGATTTGTCTGTAAGGTTGTTGATAATTCACAAAAGTGAATTTTCAACTGTCTTTTACAAGATTAGAACGCAAATAGCAGTAGCACTAAGACAGATTTAAGTTTTAAATTTCTTTGCTTAAATCAAGGCTTTTCAACCAGTGGTACGGGCACCACCTGTGGTACACTGGCACCTGGCAGGTGGTACACGACCATCCTAGAAAAGTGGTAGCGGGGGAGGGGAATGAGCTGAACCGGTGGCAGCATCGCACAAGCCTGAGTGAGAGATGGCTGGAGCTGCAGGGCTGTCAGGGCTCAGCGGAAGCGCCAGGATCAGTGCTTCTTCGGGGCTGTCAGGGCTCAGTGGAAGCACCAGGATCAGTGCCAGGCTCCAGCTGGAGGTTGGCGCTGACCTTGGCGCTTCTGCTGAGCCCTGAAGAAGCGCCGATCAGCTGGAATGTTGCAGCATCTTGCAGGGTCTTGTGATTTACATTTAAATGCTTGGCAACTGATTCATATTTATGACAGTCACAGTGTCCCTGGGTCATGTGAAGTGACCAAAACCTGCTGCAACCGCCCAGCAGATGGGGGGGGGAATAAAAACCAAACACACACACACACCCCACCCAGCTGCCAATCCTCAATAGAAATGCTCACAACAATGAAAACCTCGGACAGGAGGAAGAGTGCGGCCGGGCGGGCAGGCAAGTGTCTTGCTCGGCTGTGGTTTGGGGGGCACTTTTTTCAGTGCCATTATAACTTTGAACAGTCACTAAACGAACTATTGTAAGTCGAGGACTACCTGTACTTTATCACTTTTTTTTTTTTGGGGTCATCAGGTTTTTGACACCTTGCCAGGCGACTGGTGGCACTCGGATATTGCCATATCCTAAAAGTGGTACAATGGGTGAAAAGGTTGAAAAGCCCTGGCTTAAATGACCCTCAGAAAGATTTTCTTCCAATTAAAACCAAAGTTAATTATCACCAGAAAACCAAGCATGTCCTCACATTGACTAATGAATTGTGAGCTGCCCAGAGTCATTTGCTGAGCAACTCACAATTCAATACTATACAAACGAAATAAGCAAGTAAGAAAATTAGTTAGTTAGTTAAAGGATTTCCCAGAAGCATCTGTTGCTCATTATGGGAAATAGGATCTAGATTACCTAAACACAATCTACATGGGGCTGCCCTTGAAGACCACTCAGAAGTTACAGCTGGTTCAGAACACAGCAGCACAGTGTTGGGTGCATCTAGAAGTGCCTTCCTGGTGTAATTCAAGATGCTGGCCATTGCTTTTAAAGCGCTACATCACATGGGACCAAGGTATTTGTGAGACCACCTTTCCCTCAGGGTATTTGCCCCTCCCACTTGATTGGATAGGGTAAGCAAGTTCCAGGCCTCATTTTGCCATCAAGGGAACCTGGGAAGCATGCCATTTTTGTGGCTGTCTCTATGGAATATCCTCCATCCCACAATCCAACAGGCCCCCATCTTCTTAATCTTCCAGAAGGCAATTAGAACTTTTTACCAAGGGACTGGGTCAAAGGGTAGAGTCCGTGGCTGCTTGTTAGGGAACCTTGGAAGATTGATTGCAGCACCAGGTTTTTAATTTTTTGAGCCATGGCTTTTATGTTTTTTGTCATTTTACGGTACTTGTGAGCCACCCGGAGTTCTTTCAAGATGGGTGACTGTCCAAATCTTTTAAATAAATAATTAAAACAAACAAACAACAAAGACTTCTGGTAGGCAAGTCATAATCACAATATCAAAATGCTGAAATGAAGAAAATTTGGGTATATGGGACTGGATGTTTTCGAGGGAAGGATTATACTGTAATCATTTGTCAGATCTACTACTGTCAGATGTAAAGAATCTGGACCATTTGTGCAGATTGCAGCATAAAAAAATTATTGAGGCCTAGATACTAGAATCTGGTCAACTAACGGTCAGTGCTAAATTGGCATTAGATAAGGATCAACAGAATTCAAGAAGAGCTGGGCTCTTGTGGCAATCCAAGGACTCTAAATTGCTGGTATGTTTGTGTCTGCCCCAGTTGTGCCTTTTCTGTTCCTACAACTTCCCCTTCTCTCAAGATACTAGACCAGTGGTGGCGAACCTATGGCACGCGTGCCAGAGGCGGCACTCAGAGCCCTCCCTGTGGGCAAGCGCACCATGCCTTGGAGATGGCAACTGTCCCTCTTCAACCAGCCACCTGCTAATTTGCCGAGCTCCCACGTGGCCGGATGCATCCCAGCATGGCTGGTTTCCCTCCCCCCCCATCCCATCCCTCCTAGCCTAGCATGCTCTCCTTTTCCTGGGCACGACCCACTGTATCGCCTCCTCAGCTGTTGGCCGGCCGTCCAGCTCAGAGGCGGCTTCTCTGAACTGTTGGCGGTGGGCTGCGGAGCCCCTGAGTGCGTCAGTTGAGGGGCCGGCAGTCTGTGGTTGCTGACGGACACTGTCGGTCCCCATGTGCTTGCTGGCCTCTGTGTGCGGGGGCCAATGGTGTCAGGCAGCAGCCGCCCCGGCCCCTGCCTCTCCTTGCCCCGTGGCAATGGCACCCCCGCCCTGCCTCGCCTTGCCTCGCCTCACCCCACAGGACGAGCCTCCTGCCCACCGCCCCACCTGCCAGAGACCCCCTGCATCTCCCTTAACCCTGCCCAACCCCCATAGGTGTCCCTCCCCATGAGCAACATCAAGGTGACTACGCCCACTTTGGCCACACCCACCCAGTCTGCCATGACCACAGCCATGACCACCCAGTGGGCCACGCCCATCCAGCACCTGGCGACAAATAAGTGGGTTTTGGGTTGCAGTTTGGGCACTTGGGCTCTAAAAGGTTCGCCATCACTGTACTAGACTCTTCAATTCTATGGCTGCATTATATGTACTGGTATATTTGAAGGACCTGGTAATGAAACAAAACAGATGCCTTAAGATGGAGATACAGAAATGCAAGTTATGTGTGAATTACCACCTATGGCTTCCATTTTTTGAAGAGTCTTCTCCATCTCTTCCTGAACATCCTGTTGTTTTTTTCCAGCATCTTCCACACTGTGGTCCTCAAAATAATGATCTCGGAAATGATACAGGTGGTCAACCAATTCCTATTCATAAATGGATAAATACTGTCAGATCTCCCAATAGCGATGTCTTGCCAATACAAAATACACCGATATTTGCGATGGGATGGCCAAACTGACAAACCCCGGTTGCCTACCATAAACTAAGCATTTGTCAGTATCAAAGCTAAAATATAACTGCCCAATTTGAAATTTATCATGTCCATTCCGTGCAAACCTGGCAGCACAACTGATATCATGTCTTGACTTAGCAAAAGATAATATATATATATATATATATATATATATATATATATATATATATATATAT